TGGAGCAATGCAGAGTTCTTCTGGGGGCTGGGGAGAGCGAAAATGTGACGCGTGGAGGCCAAAAACTATTTTTTTTTCTTGTTTTCTTCCTGTAAATTTAGGTGCATCTTATAGTCCGGTGCATCTTATAGTCAGAAAAATACGGTAGATTTCAGCAGTCAAATTTACCAGGCTAAGGGTGGCTTTATCCCATGGGCTGAGACTTTGGTACTTCCTCTGACGTTCCTGCAAATAAAAAAGTCACACAGCTGAGATAAGACCACTGGTTCTTCCAAGAGAGGAGCAGAAAAATCAACAACTTCAGCAGTGAATTAATTCCAGTTTTAATCTCTTTGGTGCGCTAATGCAAAAAGATTCCGGTTCGATTCCCTAGCAGGCCTTATTTCTTTAAATTAATTAATTAAATTAAAAGAGACTCCATCTAGTTGTAATAAAATGAAGGCTATCAACCTAAAATAATCCATCTAGGTAACATTTCATTTAAAAAATTTAAAGCCTCTTTGTACTTAGTGGCAATAGATCGTATTCTATATAGCCTCAGTTTGCCAATAGTAAAATGAGAATGCTGTTACCTTCTTTCACAGGGTTATAAAACAATGAAGATTATTTTATCAAAGGCATCAAGCCCCACTGAGGAAACAGCTCAAAGTGGCATGAAAAATACTAACATTATTTTTATGTAAGCCTGCTAGAAGCCATGTTTGGCAAATTCTGGCTGAACCAGGCAGAAGCATTTGACAACAAAGATAAATCTTTGCTACTCTATAATGCTGGAGAATTATTATTAGGATTTCTGCATTCTCCATCCTATTAAAACAGTGTCTTTCCCTCCCTCTTTGGAAACATCTCCAGAGATCCCTACCTTTCGACTGAAAGAGGTGAATGGATCCAGGCGTTCCTCATATTGGGAAGAGTAACGCAACTCTGTGTCATCACTGCCAGATCCCTGAAAGAGAGACCGTTGGGTGTGTAAGTGATGCTTAGTCCCTGGTGACTTGCACGGATGAAAATGGTCAGTTCAGAAGTAACACCGAAGCGACCGACTCCCTTCAAACATGAAGGTTCAGCACGAGAGAAGTGGTCTTGCTGATGTAGCCAAAATGGACTCAATGAATGATAAGTTGAAGCAAGAGACGCAACAATGGAATCCATAGAACACATTTTGGTTATTGGTTATTGAGTCTAAGATCTTTAGCATTAGGTAAAGGTAATGCACATATGTATTGGTTGTTCCCGACTCTAGGGGGCGGTGCTCATCTCCGTTTCAAAGCCGAAGAGCCAGCACTGTCCAAAGATGTCTCCATGGTCATATGGCCGGCAGGATTAAATGCCAAAGGTGCACGGAACGCTGTTACCTTCCCACCAAAGATGGTATTTTT